ACGGTTGTACCAACGGTCACGTGACTAACAAAGTTTCTCACATCCATAGGCTACCAATTTTTTCTTATCATTGGTGCTCCGCTAAAAATATCGTTATGGTCTCCGAAAAACTATATTATGGAAACACGTTACGTTAAAAATTAAAACTTCAAGTAATAGCTATTTTCAACAGGTTTAGGCTTGACTTCTTTTCAGACTTGTCTGGTTATTTACCTAAGCCATAGACCACACTTTTTATCGGTTTGCCGTCGTGATAACTAACGCGGGATGTTGGGATAACACGAGAAAAGCTTGTAAATCACGAGCCGAAGTGATTTACAAGTTTTTCTCGTCTTCTTCCAACATCTCGAGAGGGTTATCACGCCAGTAAACCCGTTGAAAGTGTGTTCTATTGCTTTTATTTTTTCTTAAAATAACTTTAAGTAAGACAGAGTTTTACAGGCAAAAAAATGTGGTTTTAATTCCGTGATCAAGTCCTGTGTTGTCTTTAAAATCATCATTAGCCAATCATAACTCACGATTAATAGCGTTGAAAAAATAATCTAGCACCAAACTTTCTTAGAACTCTGTTCCATCAATCAAGAAACAGCAGCACTTCAAAAAATGATTTTTTTCCACATATTGAGAACGCAGGTAAGCTGCCTTTTACAGGAAAAGACAGATTTATGCAACAGATTTATGCAAATGTTCACTGAAAGATTACGTTTCTGGTTTGTGTACTACAGAATTAATAGATTGAACATCAAGCTGTACGCAGCTGTGGGTTGAGTCGATCCTTAATTTCGTGTTCACGAACGGAACTGGCAGCTATTGCAATGGATGACTTTATTCACCTTTCAAAAGCTGCAGTGGCTCATGATCGTCTGGACTCTTTCATAATCAGCAAATGCTCAGCAGTACCGACATGGTTGCATTTGTGGAGTTGTCGCATGTATGTACGTACAGCGATCGACAGTTGACCAGCAGCATTCCAAACCGGCTCCCTGTATCTTTGCCTCGATGAGACTGTTTCCTTACCGGACGGTGCGGAATCAAAAACAACACAGTATTCAATATATATATATATACAATACAATACAATACAATATACAATACTGTGTACCTTGCCTGGGTACCTTGTATCGGAGTGGTTGTTTCTTTAATATTTGTGGCTTTGATCTTAGGCTTTTTTTACAAGTTGTGCCTGAGGTTTGTTTTATTCACTGATTAGAAGCAAATCGGCTCCATTTGGATGTTTGTTGTAACCGATAATCGAAGCACGTTGTGACACTCGATGTATGAGCGCAGGGATGAGTGACGCTAAGATCAGCTTGATTTTAATGTATTTTCTTTTTGCACAATTGATGTCGTCTTCGCTATTTCTGCAATCGTCTTTATAAACCTTCTCTCTTTTCAACCGGTCCGGTCATTTTAAAGCGATCACTCACTGTTTCAGTTAAGCTGTAATTGTTGCAATTTGTTTTGTTTACCCACGGATCACTAAGGAGTTCATAAGAACTCGCTGAAACGTGTCCGTGAGTTCCAGATCGAATTGGAATTTGAAAGTGTTGGTTTTTAAGGAGAGGGGAAAACCGGAGTACCCGGAGAAAAACCTCTCGGAGCAAGGGAGAGAACCAACAACAAACTCAACCCATATATGGCGTCGACGCCAGGATTCGAACCCGGGCCACATTGGTGGGAGGCGAGCGCTCTCACCACTGCGCCACCCTTGCTCCCCCGAACGCTGTTAATTATATTGTCATATTTCGCTCAAAAGTAAAGTACAGCCCTAGTAACTACTCACAGTAGAACTCTGTAGTGAAACGAAAAAAAAATTCCAGTGGGAAATTTGAGTTATTGCGGTAAATTTCAGTGAAATTTTGATCAAGAGAAAGAAAAATTTAGCTCAAGTTAGCGGGGAATTCGAGTAATCCGAGTTCGAGTTATCGAAGTTCTACTGTATTCTTAATGTAAAAAGGGGTCAGTAGGCCTACACGACTTCTTCTTCATACCAAAATGCTGATTAAGCGTTCTTTCTTTGGCGGGTAGATTATGCTCTAGAGGGTTTTATGATGTGATTTTACCCTCTTGTTTCACACTGAGAGGTCATGACACGTTTATTGTAGCCTGTTCCAGGCGTTCAGATAGTGGGGAGCGGTGCGAAGTAAAAATGAGCGCAAAAAAATGAAAGCGAGGGAGGAGGAGAGGTGAGAGAGGGAACGCCTGTCAGATTTGTTTTAAATAGACTCTTCCGCCCAGTCAGACCGCATCAACTGTAGGTGGTCTTCACTTGTCAATCAAGACTGGTGTTACAGCCCGATGCATTTATTATTTTTCTTGCGAATAAGTCGAAGTTTGTCAGATCAAAAATTAATATTATGTATACATAATCTTACTAAAAACCCAATGTAAGACTTTCAGACAATAGAAGGCGGGAGAAGTATTCATGTATAATGAATTTATTTACGGCTTTAAAACATGATTTCAGCGTGTACGTGACAAAAAATTATGAATCAAGTGACAAACAAATATCGCTCATCTCGTTAGAAAGCCGTTTCAATACAGATCGTTAACTCAAGCAATGAAAAGGCACAACAATTGAAGGGAAAACTTACTATTCGGTGATTGAGTGGACCTCGTCAATAGCGATAGCTGCAACTTGCTTTCCAAGCTTTCCTTTTTGAAGTCCTTTTGTCCATTCATTAGACAACCACGATTTGGCACTTCAGTAAACAATTTCACAGCTTCCACTTTTTACGGCTTCATCCATATCTTCTCCCATCATTGCCGCCGCTACTCCGATTTTGTTCAAATATTCCACTTGGTCTTCCATGATGGTAATCAACGGAGTTACCACAACAATCGTAAATGGCATTCCATCCTGGCTTCATTCCAACGCACGCTTTATTCGAGGAAATAGCTGGAAAATAAGAATTTTTCCAAAGCCAGTCGGTGAGAAATTGCTAAGACATCTATCCTACCGACTACGTGTTTTAAACAGTTTCTTTGCTCTTCGCTTTTAGCCTCCACGTTTGGAAAGTCACTCAGCGCTGTGTCTGTTGCGAGTTTGAATTCTGCGTGACGGCACGTAGAGTCTGTCATAACGGCCATATCGCATTTCTCGCTGTGATCGAAGACGCTCCACTGTTGACAAAAACTGTGAAAATCAACCAATCAGACGGTATACCAGGATCTGGTATACCGGAACGCAATCTGTTAAAAATTCTTACAAGCGTTCCCGCACCTCTCTCCCCAGTCCCCCTCTACTTTTCATCGCTTTCTTTACTCCGCACCGCTCTCCACTATCTGAACGCTTGGAACAGGCTACGTTTATTGATTTTCTGTGGTTTTTGTGTCTGGTCGGGAAGATGATTTGCCCTCTGATGCAAAAGCATTTTCTGTGACCTCTTTCGTGAAGCGTAACGCTACATAAGGCTTTTAGGCTCTTTAAAGTTCTCAGGTGCCTCAGGAAACGAATAACTTAGCGATTTCCTTTAGAACGTGAATGTGATATTTTCCTGCAGTGTTGTATGCGCTGTGCCCAGCTCGCGGTAAATAGTTTTGTTTGCAGGATGTTCTGAAATACTCACGGATTAAGCGATTTACAGATTCATATTTAGAAGAGAATGAATTGCCGCCTTAAACTGAAGCTAAACCAGCTATGGAAGATTGCATTGTTAAGCAGTCAAAATCGTATTTTTAAACAATGATAAACTTCCAACTTGTTTTGTCTCCAGATAATGTGACCGTGGACTGAAGCGCGTAGTCCCTCCACTGGTAAGAGCTTTTGAACTGGTACTGTAGCTTACCATTCTGTTGAATGTTTTGTTATTGCCAATTCTCCACGCAAACCTCAGTAGTTGCCGGGTTGGCTTTGTTCTCAGTCAACTCTAGTTGTTCTGTGTCGTGGCGAGAACGGTACAGTTGTTCTGTCTAACTGAATATCCCCGTAGAAGATCGAAAAATTCTTGTGTTCTAGTAGCCTGAATTTCATCCGATTACTTGGAGTCGTTATTACTCCCTCAGTAACGTCTGAATCGACCGGCCGTTAATGCCGTCCAGTGACGTCACTACTCCTTAACCTTTGCTTTAATTCATGCAAAAAGTAAAACACGAGTTTCAAGTGGCAAACCGAGAAATATCGTTTGGAAATGTCTGCATGATACAGAACTGCTTTATTTTTTTCGATTGTAATTCATGTTTAACGTTCAAACTATCAACTGCATGCAGTACAAATCTGAACCGGTTGTATTAAATTCTATAATCAAACTCGGTCGCAATCACGCAATGAAATAAACACACACACGGAACACTTAGTTCAAAAACACAATGATTTGCTTTAATTCAAAAGAAGCTATTTGGTCCTTAACGAAGAAAAAAAAAACAAGGAGACAAGAAAGAAAAGCTAACAGAATCATCACACTTGACGGTAAAAATAGCAAGAAGGTCCAATTATAACATTGATCTCACAAAACTTCGCGTAAATAAAATCACCGGCAGCCGAAACCACAAAGCGGCTCTAAATGAAAAAAACTACCGACTCTCCGCAATGATTCTTCATTCGCAGTTCAATTTAGCATTTCAGTTTCGAAGACGAGGGCAATTTTTCTGTTTAAGATAAAGATTAAGCTTATCGAAATGTTTGAACTAAAGGAAAGAATGCAAGGGATGTGATCCGCTGAATATCAAGCGACAATCCCGCTAAAATTTTTCATAATTATACATAATTATGCGAATGTTTAGACAATCAACCAATCAAAATCACTACCCGGTTTTCGGGTAGTGAGTGACGTCACCGGACGGCATTATCGGCCGGTCGATTCAGACGTTGTTGGGAGGAGAAAACGACTCGAAGCAATCGCATGAATTTCAGGCTAGTGATCTAGGCTATTGGCTACTAAACGTAACCAGTTAAGGAGTGTCCATTTCGATTCTCTTCTGCTTTAAGCTATACTAGAGGTGTGATTCTCGTAGTAAATCTTACCAAGGTTCTCGTAGTAAATCTTGCGAAGATTCTCGTAATAAATCTTGCCAAGATTCTTCCCAAAATTCTCATAGTAAATGTTAACAAGATTGTTGCCAAGATTCCCGTGGTAAATCTTACCAAGATTGTTGCCAAGATTCCCGTAGTAAATCTTACCAAGATTCTTACAAAGATTCACGTAGTAAATTTTAGCAAGATTCTTACCAAGATTAGCGTAGTAACTGTTACCAAGATTCTTGGCAAGATTCTCGAAGTAAATCTTACCAAGATTCCCGTAGTAAATCTTACCGAGATTCCTCCCAAGATTCTCCTGGTAAATCATGCAAAGATTCTTGCCAATGCAAGATTCTCGTAGTAATTCTTACCAAGATTCTTGCCAAGATACGCGTAGTAAATCTTGCCAAGATTCTCGTAGTAAATCTTACCAAGTTCCTACCCAAGATTCTCGTTATTATTTTACCAAGATTCTCGTAGTAAATCTTACCAAGTTTTTTGGCAAGAGGTTTGTAGTAAATCCTACCAAGATTCTTGCCAAGAATCCCGTAGTAAATCTTACCAAGATTCTTGCCAAAAAACGAATAGTAAATCTTGCCAAGATTCTAGTAATAAATCTTACCAACAGTCTCGTAGCAAATCTTACCAAGATTATTGCCAAGATTCCCTTGGTATATCTTAGCAAGATTCCTACCAAGATTCCCGTAGTAATTCTTACCAAGATTCTTGACAACATTCTCATAGAAAATATTACCAAGATTCTTACGAGGATTCTCAAAATAAATCTTACCAAGATTCTTGCCTAGATTCCCATAGTAAATCTTGCCACGATTCTTGCCAAGATTGTCGTAAAAAATCTTGCCAAGATTCCCGTAGTAAGTCTTACCAAGATTCTTGCTAAGATTCTCCTTGTTAATGTTGCCAAGATTCTTGGCAAGATTCTCGTAGTAAATCTTCCAAAGATTTTTGCTTAGATTTTCCTATTAAATGTTGCCAAGATTCTTGCAAAGATTTTTGTAATAAATCTTACTAAGATTTTTCCCAAGATTCTCGTATTAAATCTTGATAAGATTCTTGCCAAGATTCACGAAGGAAAACTTACTAAGAATCTTGCCAAGATTTTCGTAGCAAATCTTAAAAAGATTCTTGCCAAAGTTCCCGTAGTAAATCTTACCAAGATTCTTGGCAAGATTCTCCAAGTAAATCTCACCAAGATTCTTGCCAAGATTATCGTAGTAAACCTTGGCAATATTCTTGCCAAGATTCTCGTCGTGAACCTTAACAAGATTATCGCAAAAAACTCTAGAAGTAAATCTTAGGAAGAGTATAGCCAATATTCCCGTAGTAAATCTTACCAAAAGTCTTGCCAAGATTCCCGTGGTAAATCTTACCAAGATTCTTGCCAAGATACTCGTGGTAAATCTTCCCAAGATTCTCGTAGTAAATCTTGCCAAGATTCTAGCCAAGATTCCCGTGGTAAATCTTACCAAGATTCTTGCCAAGATTTCCGTAGCAAATTTTACCTAGATTCTTGCCAAGTTACCGAGTAAATCTTACAAGAATTCTTGCCAAGATTTCTGTAGTAAATTTTACCAAGATTCTTGACAATATTCCCGTAGCAAATCTTACCAAGATTCTGGCCAAGATTCTCGTACTAAAACTTGCTAAGATTCTTGCCAAGATATCCGTAGAATATCTTACCAAGATTCTTGCCAAGATGCTTCTAGGAAATCTTATCAAGATTCTTTCCAAGATTCTCGTAGCAAATCTTACCAAGACTCTTGCAAGGATTCCCGTAGAAAATCTTACCACGTTTTTTTCCAAGATGCTCGCAGTATACCTTTTCAAGATACTTGCAAAGATTCTCTTAGAAAATATTACCAAGATTCTCGTACTAAATTTTGTCAAGATTCTCGTAGTAAATCTTGCCAAGATTCTTCCCAAGATTCTAGTAATAAATCTTATCAAGATTCACGTAGCATATCTTACCAAGATTATTGCCAAGATTTCCTTGGTAAATCTTACCAAGATTCTTTCCAAGATTCTCGTAGTAAATCTTGCCAAGATTCTTGCCAGGACTGCTGTAGTTATTCTTATTAAGATTCTTGGCAAGATTCTCGAAGTGAATCTTACCAAGATTCCCAAAGTAAATCTTAGCAAGATTCTTACCAAGATTTTTGAAGCAAATCTTACAAAGTTTCTTGCAAAGTTTCCTGTAGAAATCTTACCAAGATTCTTTAAAAGAATCTCAGAGTAAATCTTGCGGAGATTCTTGGCAAGATTCACTAAGCAAAACTTACTAAGAATCTTGCCAAGATTTTCTTAGTAAATGTTAAAAAGATTATTGCCAAAGTTCTTGTAGTAAATCTTACAAAGATCCTTGGCAAGATTCTCCAAGTAAGTCTTACCAAAATTCCTGTAGTAAATCTTACTAAGATTCTTGGCAAGATTTTCCAAGTAAATATTACCAAAATTGCGGTAGCAAATCTTTCCAAGATTCTTGCCAAGATTCTCGTAGTAAATCTTCTCAAGATTATCGTAGTAAACCTCGGAAAGATTCTTGCCAAGATTCTCTTAGTGAACCTTAACAATATTCTCGCGAAGATTCTGGAAGTAAATCTTACCAGAATCTTGCCAATATTTCCGTAGTAAATCTTACCAAGATTCTTGCCAAGATGCTTCTAGGAAATCTTATCAATATTCTTTCCAAGATTCTCGTAGCAAATCTTACCAAAATTCTTGCAAGGATTCCCGTAGTAAATCTTACCACGATTCTTGCCAAGATGCTCGTAGTATATCTTATCAAGATACTTGCAAAGATTCTCTTAGAAAATATTACCAAGATTCTCGTACTAAATTTTGTCAAGATTCTCGTGGTAAATCTTACCAAGATTCTTCCCAAGATTCTCGTAAAAAAATATTATCAAAATTCTTGCGAAGATTCTCGAAGTAAATCTTACAAAGATTATTGCCAAGATTTCCGAGTAAATGTTACGATAATTCTTGCCAAGATTCCGGTGGTATATCTGACCAAGATTCTTGGCAATATTCCGGTAGTAAATATTACCAAGATTCTTACCAAGATTCTCGTAGTAAACCTTATTAAGATTCTTACCAAAATTCTCTTGGTAAATCTTGCCACCATTCTTGCCATGATTCTAGTAGCAAATCGTACCAAGATTCTTGCCGAGATTTCGGTAGAAAATCTAACCAAGATTCTTGCCAAGATTTCGGTAGAAAATCTAACCAAGATTCTTGCCAAGATGCCCGTAGTAAACCTTACTAAGATTCTTGCCAAGATTTCGGTAGAAAATCTAACCAAGATCTCACCTGAATTAAGGAATGGGGCTATGTGAAAAATGGTTAAAAATAGGAAAAAAAATTCTAAAAATTTTGAACTGCTTTTTTGAGACTTTTCTTTTACATAGGGCGAAACAGTTTCGGAAGCTTAATATTCAGAGTAAGTCACGTGACTTGACCGTTGCTTACAACGATATTTTGGCGCCATTTTTGTCCTCTTGTTTTGGCGGATGTTTACGACAATTTATCCCTAATGAAATTCTGGGATAAACATTAGAATATATTCTTTAGAAACTAAATAATTGCTAATTAATCGGGGAATTTGGAAAAGCATCCTCAATACCTTTTAATTTTTTTCTTAATTTCCACTGCGTGTTACTTAGGTTAAAACGAGAGCAATCCTAGTTTTAATTTAAAGAAAAACAGAAAACCCCGTTTAGATCCTAGTTTTTGGTTACAAGCTCTTTCTCTTGGAATGTAGAAAAGACCCTTGTAGCCATGAGAAGATCCCGTATTCCTCGGACTTAATATTGTACTAAGTGACCGACTTGTCCGCCATGTTTGAGCACACGGCTCAACGTCAGGGAGACTAAAACTGAGGATGCTGCCATAGCAACACGTTCATTTCCAAAATGGCGGACGATCTTGCAATTGACTGTGTTGCATGAAATGTGTAAGTTTTTCATTCTAACATACGTTTTCTGTAAATTATATTTGCGATTTTATTGAATTAAAAGCATTTAGTTACAGTAGAGATGTTATTTTGTCCCTGTGTGTTTTACATTTTGTCTTAATAGTAAATAAGATGAGAGGTTTTTATTTCGATCCCTCTTTATTCGTTGTTATAAATCAATTCCGTTTTCCTCGAGAATGTGCGCCTAAATTTGAGTGCTTTGGCTCTAATAACAACGCTTGTCTCTAAATAAGATATCATGTTTCTATTCTAAATTATACTCGCAGAATTGGCGCGATTTTTAGATGTGCATGTTGGGTTCAATCGCAAGGTGTAGTTTCAGAAGTTCTTCATTGAAAATTATTTTCCACTGTTCTAAACCAACTTAAGTGCTTATAAATCGCCAGAATTCAAAAAATTACCATTGCTACAGAGAAAATCAGTTCCTAACAAGGAAAAAATTGGCTCAAAATCGTTGATGTAATGGCGGGATTCTTTAACTGTGGCTTCTCGCGTGTGGCAGCAAAGTACAGTATGTTGGACGAGAATGGAAAAGTTATTCGTGACAAAGGCATTCGTCTACAGAAGTTTTTGAGTACATTTTCAGACAATAAAGAGGCATTTGCTGTTACTCAGAATATTTTTGACAAGAGACTACCTGTGTTGCTGAAAAACTTTGATAAATGGCGGGGAGAAGACAAAGCAAAATACTTGACGCATTTTAGTCCTACAGCATGGAAGTCTCTTTGAGCAGCAAAGAGAGGATTGCACACAATATCTAACTGCAATGCATGTGCGGTTAATCATCTGCCTGTGCAGTCACTATTCCCGTTGAAGTCTAACCGACTTAAGGTGAACAACCCGATGTCTGCATGTGCAAAGGAAGTGACAAGCTTACAAAAGAAAACAACGAAAGTTGTAAAACCTAGTAAAGCAACAATTCAGGATACTACTAAGCAGATATATTTCAAAATAAACGAACCATTTAAGAGTCTCTACAACGTGAACCTCGCTGAAGCCTTAACAAAAGTACCTGAAATTGGTGTAACACAATCAAAAACTAAGGCGCAAAAACAAAAAGAAAGAAGGGAAACTTTAAGGTCCATCAAACGCAAAACAGAAGACCAGTGGTCTAAGGTTGACTGTGACACAATGCTGGGAACGCGGCAAGCATACAAGCAGAGGGATCTGCAAAGGAAATCTCTCTACTTTGAGTCCACTCATGAGGCAAGCGTTCGAACTTTGAAGAGAAAGGCACTTGAGGAGGCTGGTCTGCGCAAAAAGAAGCGTCATTCTCCTGATCCAGCATCAATTGACTTTGACAAGGAGGGCCTCCTGCAAGAAGTAAATTCAATGAAAGAAGGTGAAAAGGTGAGGATGTTAGTTGTGATAAGGCATAATCAACTGATTATTTTGTAGATAACTTTTAATCACTAGTTCTGCTTAAACAGAAAAACAAAAGCAGATGTCATTGTTTGATGAACATTTCATGCCACCATTTATTTTAATTAGAAATCTGAGGGATAAACAAGAATACTAAATCTTCAACATACTTTTCAGATTAATTATTCAGAACTGTCCAGGAAGTATGGAGCAGCAGAGAAAAGTAAGGTGGGAAATATGGTGGTGAAAGAGTTTCTTCAAACTAAAGGGGTGGATGTGGCAAAGTTTACAGGTCCAAGAAAAAATGCTCAGCCTGTGACAAGAAGACGCCTCAACCGAATGTTTGATGGTGAAATCACAACACCTGTCCCCCGTACTAATGCTGCCGTACGAGAAACCTTGAGGGCCAAGATTAGGGCTGGAGAATATCGCTTAGGAGAGATCATTGCACCAAAACGCTACAAGAAGTTAATGCTACAGCCTGACGGTACATGAAAAACAGAGTATTTCACAGTTAATGGAAGGAAGATACCTTTGCTTGAGATTCGTAAAGTGCTTTTGGAGGAGCATGAGAAGGAAGGTCTTGTCAGAGACCACTCAGATGCCCACTACAATTGCATGAGTGTGGATGACATAAAACGTCGCTTAAGGGAGCTTGGAGAGCTGAAAATAGATGGACTAAGGGAGGAGTTATTAAAGGTATTAAAGTTACATGAATGCACAAGACATCTCATGATCTGATCAGACCATTCCACCATTATTAACCATGGCCACCTTCTGCTAACTGTAAATGCAATCTATGATCCTGCATTCTACTACACTTCTAAAGAGCTCCATGGGAAGAAGTTCAGGAGTTAGTAGAGAAGCCTCACATTTACATCATGGCTAGATGTAGGGATACCATTGAAGATCAGCTTTTATACAGTGAAACTAGGCAGGAAGATATAAATGAGCTTGGAAGTCAACTTTTGTCCTCCCAAAAGCTCTCCATTAGGGACATTTGCAGGTTCTTTCATGGGGATCATCCTTCGCAAGAGGTAGAAAGTGGAGAGCAGATTGGTGGTGGCTTTGGGTGCTGTGGATGCACTGGGGCATCAGCCAGCTATATCGACCATGTGGGTTAAATGAGGGCACCGCAAATTACCCTTGAAGAAAGAAGGAGAAAGGTACTGGAAGGCCCAGCTGGAAAAGAAAGAAGAAATTGTGGAGTGCATCCTTTTAAAAACATGAGCAAAGAAGAGCTGATAAGAGAGTGCAAGGGGCGGCACTTATCGGTTGATGGTTTACTAAAACCTGCATTGCAATCTAACTTGAAAGAAGTACTGAGGGGCATACAGCGAGTTCCAGCACTTTGTTTCCCCCAACAAGAATGCTCCTTACAAGAGCTCAGCTTAGGAAACTATGAAGTGTTACCAGTAGAGCCTCTTCATGACCTCAAAGAGCATATCAACAACATATTTAAAGAACTACCCAAACACCTCAATGATGAAGAAAAAGTTCTATTTGATGAGACAATGGAGGCAGTACTTTCAACAAAAGAGAAGCTCCGAGGTTCAGATTACCGCCCTTGCTGTGTTGTACTGGCCTTGCACCTTGGAAAACACTGCCGCTTAACAATCAAAAGACTGCTGCACACTCTCGCAGAACTTTGTGAAATGTTGTATGCCCCAGCGGAGAAGCGCACACCAAGATTTATTTTGCGTTTGCATAATGTGACATTTTGTCATGTTATTGTAGTCCGTAAAGTCTTTAAAATCCCACGAGTGCTGACATACATCAACCTCTAATTGTCATCCTGAGCACATTATTCCAAACAGTATAAGATTTCAAGCAGAAAGAAGCTTCAGGTCTAAGAAGAGTGCCCTGACAGATCAACAGTCAAAGATTGGACAGTTTGCAAAGAACCTCCCAAACTTTCCTGACACCTCCATTCCTAATGAGCTCCTGGACAGTGAAATCTATCAGGCCCACCTAGAACAGATCAGCGATTTTCTTCTTTGTGGAAGGGGTGTTTGGTGGCATGCAGATGAGGAAAGCAAGGAAATCATATTTCACGACAGTAAAGAACAACCTGAATTTCGAGATGAAGGCCCTCCAATTCACCACTTTCGCTCCTCTTCTTTCCAGAGTGAAAGGGAATACCTCAAAGAGAAGTGGGTTGAATGCTTGACTCGAGCAGATTTTCATTTGCCAATCAGAAAGGTGAAAGTTTATGATCCGGATGGAAATTTCACATTCACGGAATACTACAGAGTTTTCCTTGAGGAACCTTGGCCAGAAAGTGGAGGTGACCAAAGTGCAGACCAACTAATGGGCTGTACTGCAATATGTGATAATGAAAATGGAAACATTCATGACAAAGCCGATGACTGTGTCAATGAAGAACAGCTAGAGACTGAACAAGTAATTTGCAAAGACCTCAGTTTAGATGGAGACGAGCTAGGTGAAGACATGAGTGAGCAGGAAATATGTACAGCAAATGGAATTAACTTACCAAATGATGCACAATCAAGTCCCACTCATTTTAGAGCTGTTTGCTGTTCAGGTGCTGGTAATCAAATATTGGAACCAAACCAGCCTGCAATTCAAGAGAAAAGTAGTACAGCAAATGTTGACTGTGCAGTTGAGTATTTAGAAACAAAACTTGCTCAGTCTGTTTCGAAAATATTAGGTTTGACTCCTGAAGTAAAGACCTTGGATAAGGCCAGAAAACTGCTCCACGAAAAGCAGAATAGCAGTTACCACCATGGAAAGTACAAAGATATTTTAGCCCTGGTCCAGACACAAGTATTGGCAGCTCATCAGAATGCTTCAAAAGAATTAGAGAAATGGGAGAGTGAATTTGCAGTAAACAATGGATTTCCACCAATGTATGAAGACTATAAAACTGAAGCAGCCATACAATCTGCTTACAAGAAGAGAAAACTGAGCAGGCAACTATTGAAACACTGGAAAATAACTGTACACCTCCAGTGAGCTTGAACTTCAAGCATAATAATTTGATTCTAAATGTATCAGAGCAGCTCCACAAATTTATAAATTTAATCATTTTAATTTTCTTATTTGTTTCGCCAAGAACTAAATAATCACACTAAGTTAATCTTCAAGTTCTTTTCATTCAAATACAAAAAAATAAATAAATAAAAAAAACGACGTGTAATATCAGTATTAGGCAGACACTTTAAAACGGGACTGATCAAGCTGATGTTCTCTAAGTACGGTTTCATTTTTCAAAAAAAGAAAATGGCAAAAGAAACGTTTCATTGTACTCACTGATATTGTCCACCGGTATGCAGACCATAACAAATCAGGTTTCACTGTAGTAATTTTAATTGATAGAGTCTTGATAACTTCATTTTTACCGTCTTCAATATAGCTCCCTACTTCAAGCAAATTACATTATTATTATTCTCTTGCCAATTATAAATTTCAGAGATCTAACAATCAATATTATAGCCTGCGTAAAAGCAATCAAATTTCGTAGTTAACATATGAAGAACCTTTCAGTGCATGCACAGCCACGTATTAAGTTAAATAATTACCCATTTTTAGGACTGCAGTTCATGTATCGAGGCAATAATAATACCAAGTCGGCTGCTCTCAATGAAGCGTTCAATGGACCGCTTAATTTTTATAAGACTTATTTATACATACAATAAAGCCGCATTCCAACTCTCAGTCTTGCAATATGTAGCAACCATGATTAAAGTTAGTAAAACTACGGATTCCCTCTTAAAAAAGAAGTACACTTTACTACACTTTGTTTGGCTTGGCTTTTAGTTTAACAGGTAAAAATTACGAATAATGCTTTATCGAAAATCATAATTCGTTTCTACAATAATAATTATAAACGAAATCACACTCACCTGATTTATTTTGCGATATCCGCACTGACACATCGCAGTTTTCAATAGCCGAATAGATTCCCGGTAGAATTCACGCAAAAAAAGAGAGAATGGTAGGCTTTTCAAGCAAATTATTTCCCACGGCAGACGACATTGAAGTATTGTATTAAATAGAAATTTAAAGAGGCCTGCGGACACGAACTTCGGTATGGATCGAGTTCACTGTTTACTGAAATGCGAGAACAAAATGTTAATAAAGTTTGGCATTAGGTAATGGCTAACTTGACACAATGCTGGGGGTCTCATACTCGCTCGAGAACCATTCCTTAAGTCACGCGAGTTCTTGCCAAGATTTCGGTAGAAAATCTAACCAAGATTCTTGCCAAGATTTCGGTAGTAAACCTTACTAAGATTCTTGCCAAGATTCTCGTATTAAATCTTGCCAAGATTTTTGCCACAAAAATTCCTGCCAAGATTGATCCCGAGTAAATCTTACGAGAATTCTTGTCAAGATGCCGGTGGTAAATCTTACCAAGATTCTTGCCAATATTCCCGTAGTAAATGATCCCAAGATTCTTGAAAAGACTCTCGTAAATCTTACGAGAATTCTCGCCAAGATTCCTGTAGCAAATCTTACCAAGATTTTTGTTAGGACTGCCGTAGTTATTCTTATTAACATTCTTGGCAAGATTCTCGAAGTAAATCTTACCAAGATTCCCGTAGTAAATCTTACCAAGGTCCTTGCCAAGATTCTGGCAAGGCAAGATTCTCGTAGTAAATCTTGCCAAGATTCTCGTAGTAAATCATACCAAGATTCTTGCCAAGATTCCCGTAGTACATCTTACCAAGATTCTTGCCAAGATTCCCGTAGTAAATCTCATCAAGATTCTTTGCAAGATTCCCCTAATAATTCTTACCAAGATTCTCGTAAAAAATATTACCAAGATTCTTGCGAATATTTTCGAAGTACATCTTAAGAAGATTCTTGCCAAGATTCTCGTTGTAAATCTTGCTAAGATTCTTGTAGTAAATCTTACCATGATTCTCGTAGTAAATCTTGCCAAGAATCTTGCCAAGATTCTCGTAGTAAATCTTACCAAGATTCTTGCCAAGATTCCCGCAGTAAATCTTACCAAGATTCCTTGCAAGATTCCCCTAATAATTCTTACCAAGATTCTCGTAAAAAATGTTACCAAGACATCTTGCGAATATTCTCGAAGTAGATCTTAGTAAGATTCTTGCCTAGATTCCCGCAGTAAGTCTTAAGATTCACTATGAAATTAAAACCCATGAAAATCCAGTCAAATTTTTCATGGAAAATTCACATGTTTTTCATAGGTTTTTCAGGAGATTTTAATGGGGAATTTTCATGGTTTTTTTACCAAAAAAATACCATGAATATGGCATGAGAACCTCATGAGAAAAGCATGAAAATCCCCTTAATATTCAACGCTTCATGGCCCATGAAAAAACTCTAACAGACAAAAAACCCATGTAGCCATGAAATAAAATGAAACTGACCAGGTTTTTTCATGGCTGTTTAATGATAATGAAAAAGCCATGAATTGAAAAGCTATTTTTCATGGTGTCAGAATTTATGGGGTTTTCATGGGGGTTTTTAAATTCATGCCCCATAAAAAAACATGAGTTTTCCGTGAACGGTTGAATATTAATGGTTCATGAAAAATGAAATGGCTTTTGATGACATTTTCATTACCCATGAATTATACCCCTGGCTTACTTTTCACGGGAAAGACAGAGACATGGCCACCATGAAAATTTAGTCTTAAACTATTCTCCACAGTTAAATCAAATACATCACTGAGGATTTGTTGGCTGGTTAATTTGAAGCTATATATACATGTAGCAACAACCCTAACCCTAAATAAAGGCTAACCGTTTTAGTTAAGTCAGTGCTTAACCCTAATTACTATTCTCAGGGCTTGTTTAAAAAAAAACTTCAGTCTGCACAGTCTGCAGTCTGCATTTTAACATGACTGCACTTTAGTATGGTGTACTACAGTGTAAATAAAGCCATTAATGACAAAAAAAGTGTCATTGCAATACAAAATTCATCTGGAATACATGTGCATACAAGTAGTACTATATCTCCTCTCCAGGCTGCAATCATGACGTTCCAAATATCTCCATTGAAAATGAACAACAAATTTCAAGGGTTCCATCCTATTTAGTCTAGACAAGTGTCAATGAAATAAAAAAAAGCTAATTTTCAGGGCCAATACAGATGTTTATTTTAGCTAATAGCAAATGAAAACCGGAAAAGACAAATAATTTAAGTGAAAACTAAAGTTCTTGTGTTACAATAACAAAAAAATGTAAATCTTATCTTTGGTCACTGTTGTTGCCTTAGCCATCAGATCCATCTTGTAAGTACAGTTTACAATAAATATTGAAATGCAGCAACATCTAAACAAAATTAACAGCAGAATACATGTCAAGATTTGATGTAGAATATTTGATCCATCCTTAATTAATAAAACAACGGTTTTGATGATGCAAACCACACAAAAGGATATCATTATTTTTAAAATAATTGATTCATTAATGAAATATATGGATAAGCAGACTTTGTTAGAAGTCAAGCTGGCTTTTTTGCTCTACTGCATCTCTAAAATTCCCCTATGTCTTTGGTTTGGTTTGCAAATGCAGCTGGTGGTAAGCTCTTTTTCAGCTGGTTGAACTAGCTGGCAGCCGGCTCTTAACGACATCCCTGCTAGCCTGTGTACAGACCACCCCCTCCCCTTAGTAAAAATCAGAGAAGGGGCATCTGTGATTCATTGTCGCTAATCGTGTATGGGAATAACTTTGCATAAATTAAAAAAATAGTTTCCACTGACCAAAATTTCCATGGCTCATGTTTCACGTCATTCCAGGTCTCAAAATGTTGGTGCATGCGTCTTATTTCCATCGAGCAACTGGGAGAGTGAGACATTTTTAAAATAGGATTACTCTATACCGAGCAAGAAAAAAGTTNAGTATGGTGTACTACAGTGTAAATAAAGCCATTAATGACAAAAAAAGTGTCATTGCAATACAAAATTCATCTGGAATACATGTGCATACAAGTAGTACTATATCTCCTCTCCAGGCTACAATCATGACGTTCCAAATATCTCCATTGAAAATGAACAACAAATTTCAAGGGTTCCATCCTATTTAGTCTAGACAAGTGTCAATGAAATAAAAAAAAGCTAATTTTCAGGGCCAATACAGATGTTTATTTTAGCTAATAGCAAATGAAAACCGGAAAAGACAAATAATTTAAGTGAAAACTAAAGTTCTTGTGTTACAATAACAAAAAAATGTAAATCTTATCTTTGGTCACTGTTGTTGCCTTAGCCATCAGATCCATCTTGTAAGTACAGTTTACAATAAATATTGAAATGCAGCAACATCTAAACAAAATTAACAGCAGAATACATGTCAAGATTTGATGTAGAATATTTGATCCATCCTTAATTAATAAAACAACGGTTTTGATGATGCAAACCACACAAAAGGATATCATTATTTTTAAAATAATTGATTCATTAATGAAATATATGGATAAGCAGACTTTGTTAGAAGTCAAGCTGGCTTTTTTGCTCTACTGCATCTCTAAAATTCCCCTATGTCTTTGGTTTGGTTTGCAAATGCAGCTGGTGGTAAGCTCTTTTTCAGCTGGTTGAACTAGCTGGCAGCCGGCTCTTAACGACATCCCTGCTAGCCTGTGTACAGACCACCCCCTCCCCTTAGTAAAAATCAGAGAAGGGGCATCTGTGATTCATTGTCGCTAATCGTGTATGGGAATAACTTTGCATAAATTAAAAAAATAGTTTCCACTGACCAAAATTTCCATGGCTCATGTTTCACGTCATTCCAGGTCTCAAAATGTTGGTGCATGCGTCTTATTTCCATCGAGCAACTGGGAGAGTGAGACATTTTTAAAATAGGATTACTCTATACCGAGCAAGAAAAAAGTTCTTACAAGCCCATATTGAAGGAAAAGATCCATGTTCTTATGCAAGCCTTCCCACTGGATACGGGAAGTCATTAGTTTGAAATAAAGTGTTGACAAGTCAGACATGACTCATGAGCACATGATAGTGTGAAATGTGACCTTAGCATTATTGTTTTGCTTGAGTTTTGATGACAGGCCCTAAAGCCAATCAAAATCCCTCAATTACATGATGTACACACTGTAATGATCTACAAATAACAGCCAATCAAATCATTTTCCACATATTCCAGGAAAAAACACGTAGCCTCCATACACTATTACCAATGGTGAATCCATCACAAGCCTCAGCGTCCCGGAAGTTAAGAAATGCGTAGCGTCTGGTTGCTATGTAGTGACGTAATCATCCAGTTGAGTATCTATCATCGTAACACTTTTGCGGTCAACCGCCGCAGCGCTCGTAAAGTACTTTAATTAAAATCGTGTTCAAACCCCTGTGGAGGAAGTCTGTTTATTTTTGAGTCGATAAATGCACTTCTGACGTTCACGAGGTTCAATTTTGCATAAATTATCAAAAATTTTGTTAAGCGGGAAATCTACCTACGGTTCGCGGGAAACGGAACTCTATAGCAGTGCAAGACGAATGTTTCGAGAGTCGAGGATGCACTTATAAATCATTCACAATATCTATGCAACGAAAGGTGAAATCACTGGCATGATAGATCCTGCAATGGTAATTGTATCAATCCAGGTCGCGATCGTGTTCGCTCCAGAAGGCTGCGACAACCTCGTTTGGCGCGCTTCTCATTACTTCAAAAACATGTCGTGATCGGTAAGTAGACTCAAGGACTTAGTTTCTCAAGCCATTCGATTTCTCCACCCTATTATTTGTCTGAGGATTCTAGCAAACTAACAAGTAAATTTGGATGGAAGATGAAATTGTCTCCCTAAATGCGGCCAGAGTTATATTCTCCAGGATGGCGGCACAATTCAACGTGTCTTTCAGGTCAGCTCTAATTTGTAGTTTGTATAACAATTGCGATCTCCCTATTTTCGCTCAAGCTTTCTTTGATCAAACTTTCATAAAAACAAAACAAAGCAGACATTCTCCTGTATAACCAGTGACTCGATCGGCTGGAGGAAATATTTGCTTCCAAGTCGGGTAAATGCCTATATTTACATTTATTCCATCTTACGCACTGCAAACTCAATCGCAGATACCCTGGCATGATATGATTATGCCTGAGCACTTCTAGAACATATAACACGTTTAGCATTTCGACTCGTAGAAAAAAAAGTTAAGCAGTTGTTCTATATCCTTTCTGGTTCATCCAGGCAGAAGTCCTGGCATGATGTTATTATGCCTGAGCGCTTCTAGGATATATAAC